CAAAAGCATGGTCCAGAACAAGAACAAAAGGGCCGGGAAGCAGAAAACAAATCTGCCAGGAAGAATTGCAGAAATGTTTCCTGACTACAGTAGGAAGGAGGGCAGGAGGGAGTCCAAAGGAAAGGGATGACTGAAAGTCTATCAGGCACCCGTGCTGGGCAGTGCTCCACTCTCACTCCCCAGCCCACACAAACAACACAGCAGTGTCAACATGTCGCTGTACACCTAGGAAGGCTCTTCTAGGAAGGCATATGAAACGCCTGTGCAGAATGAAGCTACGGTGGTGACAGCAGCATTAAACACCCGGCATGGAATCCGTAAAGCGAAGCCGGCCATGAGCTTGCACGAAGACCTAACAGAAATGAGATCTGGATACCCACTAGCCCACACTAGCAACCTAGAAGACAGCCATAAATCAGATGCAGGAGAAGGAGCAGCTTGAGAGATAAAAATAAAGATGAACAAAGTAAACAACCCCAGACACAAAGATAATTTATAGAACTTTGAAAAATCTCAATTAGAATTCTCAGAAAACATTGAAGTCGCTATTATATCCACAAAAAGGAGCTATTATTAAAAAAAAAATGAAAAGTTCAGAAAAAAAAGCTCTCAAAATTATGACTGCCAAATGATTTAATAGAAGGGTAGGGAAAAAATTAGGAACTTTATCTAGAACACTGCCTATTTGCACTGAAACAAAAGAAAAACAAAAACAAAAAAGGAAAAAAATAATGGAAATAGATCAACCCAGGCAATCTAAAACCGCAGTCCCAGAAAGAAAGAAAATAGAAAAATACCAAAGTAATAATAATTATCTAGAACTAAAGCATACAAATTTCTGGATTGATGCCAATTAGAATTTGGTTGGGGGTATGGGCACCCACCATGGACTCAGGGAGGATTCTGAGAGTTTCCAGAGAGAAAAAAGTTCAGATACAAATGGTCAAGTATCAAAATGACATCAGGCTTCTCACACTATGTAGCAGTGCCTTCAAAATTTTGTGAAAGTTATTTTTATCTTTAAATCCTATCCTCAGTTAAAATATTCATTAATTCCAAAGTTAGAATAAGGATATTTTAAAAACATAAATTCCACCCTCCCCCAGAAGGAGCCACAGAAGCCATCCTTCACACAGGGATAAAAGCATACCTCTGCAGGCTGTGCACCCACCATCACAAGCAGCCCACAGGAAGTCCAGGCTCTCAGACTAACAACCCAGAACTTCAGACTACTCAGTGGGGGCAAGGAGCAGCCCCAAAGCACTCACCTCTACCCAATGAAAGTCTAGAGTGAGGCCAGTACACTGCATGTAGGACTCCACCTTACCAGGTCTTCTATTTTCCATTAACAGGGATCAACAAGACCACTTCCCAGATCTCCTGGCCCACATCAAAGAGTCAAGAGTTACTTCTGATAGTCTCCTCCCCTCCCCCCATATCTAATGTCTCATTGCCAACATCAGTTCAGTGGGACTAACTTCATGATGCCCTTCAATAAGCCCAGGACCCCTTACCACTGACAAAGATCCACAAGGATACTCCCCCTATCCAGCCCAACAAATCAATGCTGAATCAGCAAAATCTTGCTATTCCTGAGCCCTTCCTATGAACATCCCTTTCACCTCACTGCTTTACGGAAAACCTGGATGTCCTGTGAGGACACTGCCTCCCTTAAACACTGGCAAGTGAGGACTATCCATCTCTCCCACAGCCTTGGAATCACTGGGTGTGGAGATGGAATGGGTGTCTCTATCACCATGTCCCCTCAGTACAACTTCCAGATCATCCTCACTAAAGCCTCCTAGCCTGGAGTCACCTATGACCCCTCACAGCATCTGCCTTAGTACCTCAACTCTGTAACCCTCTCTCTGCTGTAACCCAAGCCCCCAATCCATTCATATCCCCACATCCCACACTCCCTTGCTGTTCTACTATCCTCTCCTCTTCCTTAACCTAATCAGATGGCCAATCATCACACACCTCAGCTTCCTCATCCCTCACTGCTTTCATCAAACTACAAGCCTAGTTAAACCCAACTCTTTCCTCACACCCTGCAAGCTCCCCAACAGCTGAATGTGGTTGGAGATAACATCACAATCACAATAAATTCATGACCATGACCCCTAGTGGGACTCCTGATGCTGTCTGACAATGCCACTATTTCCCTCTCTCCTCCCCTCCCACATGCCCATGACTATTTACATCTCTCTACTGCTCCTCTACCCTGAGTTGATGTCATGTCTCCCACTGCACTGAGAGACCCTAAGCACTGAAAAGACAACTTCCTCAGATTCTTACCAGGACATGTACCCATACATTCTGCCTTCCCACTGATTAATACAGAGGAATTATCCATGGTCTTACCTCTCTAGTCAATCCTTCCACGACACATTAGTTCCTGGCCTCTTATTTTTGTAGAAGTGTTACTCTAGCAATTCTCTTCTTTCTACATAATCAGATTTTCCTATTCCAGATCATTCCTATTACTAGATAAACTTGCAGTAACCTCTCCCACCACAAAAGAAAAAAGAAAAACTTCTCTTGACACACTATACTCACCAGGTATCACAGCCCCATTTTTTGGTTTCCTTTTGCAGCAAACTCACCATCTCCAAAATGAACCTCCCATTCTCTCCTAAACTCATTCTCCTACACTATTGTGCCTCCTCCTACTTACACCAAAACCACTTATCAGGGTTACCAATGACCAAACCTACATGAATTCCAATGGTCACTTCTTAGTCCTCATTTTATTTGACACACTGGATCCCTCTCTCTTCTTTTACATATGTTCTTTCTGTGGCTTCTGAAACACTTTGTTGTCTGCCCAACCTCCAGCCACTAATCCTTAGCCTCCATGTCTATTCCTCCTCTCCCCAACTTAACAATGAAGTGCGCCAACATGAGGCCCTGGTGCTCTTCTGTTCTCCATCTACCTCCCCACTTTGATAATCCAACCTCCTAAAGGGTCTTCCTGTTTCCAGACTTGCCTCCCAACAGTCTGTTCACCCCACTGTAGCCAGAGTGAACCTTCTAAAACATAATCCTTGAATGGTTTCCACCTCTTTCAAAATCTTGCTCACCCCATGGCAGCCTCCTTCCTGCTGTTTGAACACAGGTATGCTCTGACCTTAGTGCCTCTACACTCGTGCAGCCTCCACCTGAAGTCCTCTTCCTCCTAATGTCTACATGGCTAACTGCCTCCTTCAAGTCTTCGTTCAGATCTTACACCTCCCTCAATGAGACCCACACTGACCATTCCCTTCAGCTTACCCATTTACCCTCCTTATCATGTTCTGGTTTTTTTTCTAGCACTTTTCCCTGCAAATATACTATAAAACTGGTATATTTTTAATGTCTTTTTGTTTTAATGTCTGTTCTGGTATTTCCCAAGTACTTAGAGAAGTACCTGGCACACAGTAGGCACGCGGTCAAAAATACACATGGAATGAATGAGTATTCAAAGAGTTAACATCTTTAATATATAGAAAGTGCTTATATCCAAATGTTACCAAGAGGCAATTCACAACAAAAATATAAGTAATGAATAAACATTAAAGTATGTTCAATTCCATAAATACTCTATTATGAATTCAAACACAGAAACTTTAAGAATGCCTGTAATACCACCATCAAGAGATAACTACCATTTACATTTTGGTTTATAGCCTTCCAGATTTTCTTCTATGCATTTATGCATGTGTACAAATTTTTTTACTTCTAAATTCAAGGATTAAAAATAATACCACCAAATGTTGGGGAAGGCTCAGAGAAGGCTTTCTCATGTACATCTTCTAGTGGGAGTATAAAGTGGAACAAATCTTCTAAAGAGCAATGTGCTGCTTTGTAACAGTCTTTAAATATTAACTCAGCAATTTCAATCCTAGGAATTTATCTGAATACAATAATTTGCTAGGTGTGCAAATAAATAAATAAAATTCAGTAAATTTGTAATAGCAAAATTCCAATAATCTAAATGTCTAACGTAGTGCAGACATTAACACGACATATATCTACATTAATTATAATTGAAAGATGAGCATAATACACTAATTTTTTAAAGTTATAAACAGTATGGGGGCGCCTGGGTGGCTCAGTGGGTTAAGCCTCCGCCTTCGGCTCAGGTCATGATCTCAGGGTCCTGGGATCCAGCCCCATATCCCCTCTGCTCAGTGGGGAGCCTGCTTCCCCCTCTCTCTCTGCTTGCTTCTCTGCCTACTTGTGATCTCTGTCAAATAAATAAATAAATAAAATCTTTTTTAAAAAGTTATAAATAGTATATGCAGTTCAATCCCCTATTTGTTAAAAAAAAAAAAAAAAAAAAAAAACCCAACTTAATATGTACACGTATAGATCCATAGAAAGCAGTCTGGAAGGGGCTCCTGGATGGTTCAGTTGGTTAAGCATCTGCCTTCAACTCAGATCATGATCTCAGGGTCCTGGGATCAAGCCCTGTGTCAGTCTTGGTACTCAGCGGGGAGTCTGCTTATCCATCTGCCCCTTCCCCTGCTCCTGCTCTGTCAAATAAATAAAATCTTTAAAAAGAAAAAAAGAAAGAAAGAAAGCAGTCTGGAAGACTATAAATAGATAATCAATGACTATTCTCTCTTACTTTTTTGAAAATCTTATTTTTAAGTAATCTCTATACCCAGTGTAGGGCTCGACCTTAAAACCCTGAGATCAAAGGTTGCATGCTCTGCAGACTGAGCCAGCCGGGTGCCCCAGTGACTATTCTCTAGTTAGTAAGACTACAGACTTAGTGCCTTCCTTACAATTCTTTGCGTTTTCTACTTTTTTAAATGTGCTTATACTACTTTTGGAATGAGAAAAGGTATTCTGAAAGACTAAAAATGGTTGTGATTAAAAACATATAAAGAAAACTCCTAAGAAGATTCTTATAATTAGAATTATTCAGAGACATAGTCACACTTTCATTTTCCATAAGACTGAGTGAGGCCTGCTTTTAACATGGCAAAAACAAAATGAAGGTATGAACTTACTCATCATCCTGGAAGCTAAGTTGTAACTTCTCTCTTGGGTCACCTTCACTCTGGCTGCTGGGAGATGATTCAGATGGAACTGAAAACTTCCCTTCTACTAAATAAGATGCCTGGATATCAGAATACCTACACACATACAAAAAAATTTGTTTTGTTAATAGTTAAATTATGCATATTTAAAATTCACCATGACATTAGGGCCACATGACTATAAAACCAACTGCTAGGGGATAAAAATAAACAGGGCCCCCAGTGTTCAAAACCATCATCTCAAGTGCAAAGCACTGAAATCTACATGTCAAGAATGAGGTGTGTTCTTACTAAACAAAGAGTCACAGAAATCTTAAAGCTAAAAGTCTTCAGAGTTAAACTCTTCATTCTAAAGGTAAAGATAATGCTTCTTACCAAACATTCAGGTTGGGAGGAGGACAGGAAAGTAGTTAGATTATTTAAGCATGGGCAAACTTTACACATCATATAAGATGGATGGGCTGTACACGTCACATACGGAGATGCAACTCAAATTACTGGCTGCCAGTAAGGCTGAACTAATACAAATCCAAAACACTATGAACAGAGAAAACAATTAGTAGACCAAAAGGTCACTGGTACTCAGTTCCAAATCTACCCACCCACTACTGATTAAGGCAATGGAATAAGGAAATGTATACGTTTTTCAAAATAATTATATATACATATGAATATATATAACATATATATACACACATATATCATATACTTAAATATGATATACATATCATATTACATATATAAATATACATAAAGCAAAAGCTCAAGCTTGGCTGAGAAGTTTTTTAAATATATTTATTATTTGAGAGAGACAGCATGCACGTGTACCTGCACAAGCATGCAGGGGTGAGAGGTAGAGGGAGAAAATCCCCAAACCAACTCCCTGGAGAGTGTGGAGCCCAGTTCAGGGCTCAATCCCAGGACCTGAGATCATGACCTGAGCCAAAGCCAAGAGCTGGGACACTTAACCAACTGAGTTACCCAGGTGCCCCTTGGCTGAGAAATTTTTACAGAAGTATCAATGTATTGCAGGCTTTCGAGACCTTACAAAAAAAATCATGTGTTCTAAAAGTTCTTACCTGTTATCAGCACTGGATCTGTTCCTAGCAAGTGTTGAAACAGCAACAGGCAAGCCAAGATTTGAAGGAAGAGTGACATTTTCCAAAATCTCACTATTACCAAATAACGAATTGGTTAAAAAGCTTGGAAATGACTCTTCAGCTATTCCTCGGAAATCTTCCATCTCACTACAACAATAAAAGCTTTTTAAAAATCAAATACTATAAAACCTTTCCAAATGATTAAAAGTCTCAAAAATCTTAGAAAACTTATATCTTAGAGAAAAATCATTTTCTTGGAACAGCACAAAGGGGATAAAATCAACAAAGCATTTGGAGGTAAAGTAATTCTCAGAATACTTTGCTACTTCAGAGCTGAGACTACAAATGTCAAACTATCTTTTTATAATTAACCTAATAACATAAATGTTATTTATAAATAACATAACAAATTTGTAAAATATAACACAGATTAATTTACTCTTGGTTTACTATCGCAAAGAATATCAATTGCCACACTTGTCTAGTAAAAAAACAGAGACCCAACACTGAAGGAATATACAGATGATTTCAGGAAGTACTTCATTCTAACATGGAGGAGGAAAAAAAATTAAACCAGCAAAATCTAGCCCCTAATTTCAGAAATTATTCTTAAGGAGGAGTAAATGTTAGTTTAAAAGGGAAGTCCATTGAAGGAAAAAATTAAAGTTAAATCAAGTCTAGCTGGCACATGGACAAGACAAAAATGGTGAAAGTGGTATACAAAGGACTTACTCTGGAAATACAAAGGACTCATCTGGCACAGAATCTGTATTACTGAGAGATCTTCCAGCCCACATTGGACCCTGGCTCTACTTAACCCTGATTACAGTACTTAGGAGATGTAATCTCAAAATTACTTCAGTGTTTATCATGTAAGGGTTATATGGAATTCAGTAAAAAAAATTAAATCATGAAAGGCTCAATAAATGAGAGAGTATAGGCCCTCTGCCTTGAAAAATGAGTAGAACTTTGACAGGCCAAGTATGACATGAGGGGGCTCTCAAAGATAACAAATAAACATGAGCAAAGGTGGAAGAGAATTAAGATTTATTGTATATTCACGACCTTAACTCATTTATCCCACTTTATGAATGAAGAAACAAACTGAAACTAAATTAGCTAAATGTACCAAGGTTGCACAATTAGTAAAATTCAAACCCGGGTTTGACCCCAAAATCCACCCCAAGTACTAAATACGTGGAGGCAATAGACAAGTGCTTTAATGTGTTTTGGCAACGGGTGTACAAAAAACACAGTGAATGAAACCATGAAGTCAGATTCTGAAAGTCTTAAAAGGTACATTAGGAAGTATGGACTGTATTCTGCAGCCCAGGGACGGACTGATCCTGACAGAGGAAGGGAGAGGGCTTAACACCTGAAAGGATATTCAAAGAGCTACCACAACTGGTGAGATAGAGGCCCATGACGGACTATGCTGGGGCCAATGACAAATGCACTCAAGTATTGGTATTAGAGAGAATGGGCTAACTAACTCTATAGAGTAGAAAATATTTAAGACTTTTAGAGAGCTATAAAACATATTTGACTGTGAAGTATCCAGGTTCCCATGCAAAGCTCACCTCTCTACCTGCACTTGATCCCACCCGTCACCAGTGCAGTGACAACCACTCCAGCAACTACCCTCCTCCTATCCGTCATCAAAACTTCTCTGTGCAGCCATTCCTACCAGCATGCTGTTATTTCCTCATCTTTTAAAAAAGTTTTCCCCTGTCTCATACCCTGTTGTCCCCCTGCAGCTGTACCACTTCTATCTACCCTCCCTTTACCACATACTCCTCCAAAAGGAATCACTACCGCCATCTGTTTCCACTTCTGTCATCTCCTAGACCCATGCCAAGCTGGCTCTTATCCTACTGCCCCATCAAAACACTTGCCAACATCACCACTGAGCTCCCTGTTGCCAAACCCATAACCCCACAGTCAATTTTCAGTCCCATCTTCTCTGACCTAACAATATGGGATTTGTACTCCTTCCTTGAAGAAATCCTTTCTTCACTGGTTTTCAAGACACAGCTGTCTGGGTTCTCCAGTCTCACCGGCTGCTTCTTTTCCTTCTCCTTGGCTGGTTCCTCCTCATCTCCTGGACTGCCATACAGTAAAGGTGTGAGGGGTTGCTCCTGGATCCCTTCCACCTACCCAACCTCTCTAGGTGACTGCCCTCAGTTTCAGAGTTTTAAATACAATATGAAATTTATATCTCCAGCCTGGACCTCTCCCCTGAACCTGAGATATGCAACTACCAACTAGACATTTCCACTTAGTTTTATCTAACAGGCACCTAAACCTGAAGTTTGATTCCATCTCCTTCCAACCCACTCAAAAAATCCTGCTTTTCGAACTTCCCCACAGAGAAAAATGACAAATCCATCCTCCACCTGCTCAAACCAAAAACCTTAGTGATTACTAACCACCACCTCCAACCCCTCAACATACACACACACCCAAAAAGCAATCCCTAGGCAAATCCCAATGTCTTTACCTAATAATATATAGAACCTGCCATTTTCTCACTATCTCCACTTGGTCAAGCCACCACCACCTCCTGCATGGATACTCACTACAAGACACTTTATATTATATAACACTTTATATTTACATAACTATCTCCACCCCTCCATTCTTCCTCCCCTAGTCTATTCTCCATACACTGAAATTATCCCTGCTAAGTTAGTCAAATACTGCCACTCCTTAGCTCAAAACCCTCCACTGGTTTCCCATCTCATTCAGATTTAATACCTACAATGGCCAAATGAGGGCTGGATAATCTGATCTCATTCTCTACCACTCTCCCTTGCTTTTGCTCCATCCTCACCATCCTAACCTCCCCGCTGTCCCCACGACTTGCCAGGGCTCCAGCTTCAGGGACTGTGCCCTGGCTCTAATCTCTGTTCAGCACACTGATGCCCCACATGACCTCACATCTTGCTCCTTCACTTTTCTCAAGTTTTTGGTAAAAGTCCACTTATCTGTCTGGTCTCCCTCACCAATCTTCTTCTTCAACTCCAAGCTTTCTTTTTTTTTTCCTGCTTTCTTTTTTCTCTGGTGCTGACCACCATCCAGCATGTTATATAATTCACCTATTTAATTTTTTTCCTCCACATTAGAATGTAAGCTCCATGAGGGCAGGGACTTGGAGTATTTTACTACTGAGTTTCCACTTAAAGCAGTGCCTTGCCCAGAGTAATTCTCAATAAATCTGTTGAATGTCTTCAAATTATTTCAATACAGAGCAAATTTAGTACCAACTATCATATAAGCACCCTTCTCTCAGATCATGTCCCAGCATTTTCCTTTCTTTTTTGTTTCTACTTCCTTTTCTTGATTTCTATAAACATGTTCAAAATGATCCCACTGTAGGATGGAGGAGGTAGGAAACCTGTTCCCATCCTTCATTTGTGCTTCCTGCCACCACCTTCTCACCTCCCCTTCAAAGACAAGTGTCTTAGAAGAATCCAAACCATAACTTCTGTATCTCAATGACATCTTCTTCCTCCATCTATTCCTTACACGGTAGGGATACCCAGGATTCTGACCTCAGATTTTGTTATACAGTGTACATCTTATACTCTTAGGTAGGGATCTCAAACTCAAATGCTTTTAGGCACTAATACTGTCAGACAACAGTACTGTAAGATGAGAGCAACTAGAAGTTATAGACCCCAACTGAACTAATTTCAATTCGGTAAGAAACACTATTGCCAAATAAAACAGATCTACTGGTGAAACCCATTCCGGAGGGCAAAACAGGTCTATGTCCCAAACAGACCCTAAATCGTTCCATTATCTTTCTATGTCTGCTACCACCACCTTATCGTACTGCAAAGCCTCCCAACTGGTCTCCATGCTTCTATTCTTGCCACCCTACAGTTAAATATCCACATGGCAACCAAATGCACCATTAAATACAAACCAGGTACCACGCCCCTATTGAACACTTGAGGGAGACACCCCTGAGGCTCATGACACACCACATACTGGTGTCTCTGTTCCTGTAACATCCAAGCCCCATCTCTACCTTGGGGGCCTAGAGTACTCTGCTAAATCTCTGCACCAACTAGCTTCTTCCTAACATTCACCTGAATTTAAACGTCACCTTATAAGAGAGGTGATTCATCATCATTAATCCAATGTAGCCCCACTGTCCCTCACAATTGTTTTAATTTCATCCAGCACTTATCACTACTTTTATACTTTTCTTCCCCCACTAAAAAGATTGCTCTCTGACAGCACAGGCCTTGCCAATCTGTCCATCACTCTTACCTAACACCTATAACAATATCTAACACATATTTACGAAATATTTATGAAATGAATGATTAACATCTTCAATATCTTTGACTTTATAATTTTTTAAGGAAACACTTATGACATTGGTTTCTTTCACTTTTTTTCTCTTAAATGTGCATTTGTTTTTAATATTTTATACATTTATTTGATAGAGACACAGCAGAGAGGGAACATAAGCAAGGGGAGTGGGAGAGAGAGAAGCAGGCTTCCCACCAAGCAGGGAGCCGGATGCGGGGCTTAATCCCAGGACCCCAGAACCATGACTTGAGCCGAAGGCATTCACTTAACAACTGAGCCACCCAGGAGCCCCTCTCTCACTCTTTTTTTTTTAAAGTAGGCTCCGTGCCCAGTGTGGAGCCCAGGGCCTGAACTCATGACCTGAGATCAATATCTGAGCTGAGATTAAGAGTCAGACACTTAACCAGCTGAGACATCCAGAGGCCCCAACATCTTCAACTTTAGATTATCAGTATCTTGGGGACATTTCAATCTCGTACACCCATATGTTCCCAGTAATTGATATAGAGCTGGAAATACAAAATGAACAAAAAAAAGAGTTGAAAGAAATAATCTATACTCCCTAGCTATCTAGCTGACATATGGTGTCTACTCTATTATCAATTAATGCACTAAGTATTTTATATACAATCCTCTAATCTGTGCATCAGATCTGCAAGATAGCTATCATCCCTATTGTTGAAGAAACTGAGGCCAAGAGAGGGAATTATGAGGATTTTCCAGGCCACATACCATGAATGGGAGCAGAGGATTCACAGACAGGCAAGTGGCCCCAGAGTAGTCTTTCCTTTGCACTAATGCCATCTTCCTCATTTTCAAATCACTTCAGCTCTC